ATGGGTCTACTTATATTTGGATTTTTTACAGTACAGTACTGTAAATGTATTTTCTCTTCCTTATGATTTGTTTAATAACATTTTCTTTTCTCAAGCTTACTTTGTTGTAAGAATACAGTATATGGTACACATAACATACAAAATATTTGTTAATGGACTGTTTGTGTTATTGTAAGGCTTCGGGTCAACAGTAGGCTATTAGTAGTTACATTTTTGGGGAGTCAAAAGTTATACACAGATTTTCAACTGCACAAGGGTCAGCACCCCAACCCCTGCATTGTTCAAGGGTCAACTGTATATCTAAGTATTTCATTTTCTTTGGCACAATCATAAGTGGTACTGTGTTTTAAAGTTTGGTTTCCACAAGTTTGTTGTTAATATATATATACATGCAATTGGTTTTTGAGTGTTGACTTTGTATTCTGAAACCTTGCCAGACTCACCTATTAGTTCTAGGAGGAGGTTTTTAGGAGGGTTTTTTTTTTTTTTTTTTGGTAGATTCCTTGGGATTTCTTTTTTTTTTTTTTTTAAGATTTTATTTATTTATTTGAGAGAGAGAATGAGAGAGAGAGAGAGACCACATGCGAGGGGGGAGGGTCAGAGGGAGAAGCAGACTCCCTGCCGAGCAGGGAGCCCGATGCGGGACCTGATCCCGGGACTCCAGGATCATGACCTGAGCCGAAGGCAGTTGCTTAACCAACTGATCCACCCAGGCACCCCCTTGGGATTTCTTATACAGACATTTACAAATAGGTTTTGTTTTATTTCTTCCCCTTAAAAAAAAATCTGCATTTAAAAGTTTATTCTGTTTTTTCTTTTACCTTTTTGTCTTATTCCACTGGTTAGAACTTTCAGTAGAACATTGAATAAGAGTGATAGGGATGCCTGGGTAGCTCAGACGGTTAAGCGTCTGCCTTCGGCTCAGGTCATGATCCCAAGGTCCTGGGGTCGAGTCCTGAGTTGGGCTCCTTGCTCAGTGGGGGGCCTGCTTCTCCCTCTGCCTGCTACTCCCCCTGCTTGTGCAGGTGCTCTCTCTGTCTCTCTGACAAATAAATAAAATCTTTAAAAAAAAAAAAGAGTGATGGGATACATACATCCTTGCTTTGTTCCTCATCTTAAGGGAGAAGCATTCAGTCTTTCCCCATTAAGTATAATATTAACTGCAAGTTTTTTGTAACTACTCTTTATCAAGTCAAGGAAATTTCTCTCTATTCCTAGTTTGCTGAGCTTTTTAAAAAAATCATGAATGCATGTTGGATTTTGCAGATGCTTTTTCTGCTTCAATATATCTTCTTAGTGAACTGGTCCTTTTATTATTATGTAATGTCCTTTGTTTCTAGTAATTTTCTTTGCTCTGAAGTCTACTTTAATATTAATATGGTCACTCCTGCTTTTTTTTAAAAATTAATGTTTACATTATATTCATTTTTCCATCCTTTTACTTTTCACCTACGTATGTGGTTGTATTTGAAGTGGGTTTCTTTTTTTTTTTTTTAAGATTTTATTTATTTATTTGACAGAGAGAGAGAGACAGCGAGAGAGGGAACACAAGCAGGGGGAGTGGGAGAGGTAGAAGCAGGCTTCCCACTGAGCAGGGAGCCCGATGTGGGGCTCAATCCCAGGACCCTGGGATCATGACCTGCGCCGAAGGCAGACGCTTAACGACTGAGCCACCCAGGCGCCCCTGAAGTGGGTTTCTTATAGACAGTATATGATTTGATTAATTTTTTATCTACTCTGCTAATCTCTCTAATTGGTATATTTAAACTATTTAAATTTAAGGTAATTATTGATATGTTAGGGCTTAAGTTTGCCATTTTATTATATTTACATGGTCATAAATATGTTAACACTGAATATTGCTTTAACCCCAAACCATGATATAAATCTGCTGGGAAGTTTGGAGGAAGGCAAACTATGTGCAAAATGCTGGGAGAAGAGAGGTAGATCTTTATCTTCTCTAGTAGGAAGTCAACATATAATAGATAAAATTGAAAATAAATAAGAAATATCTGTAAAATAATAGCACTGATAAATAGAGGTAAATAATTTTTTTTTTTTTTTTAGATTTTATTTATTTATTCATGAGAGACAGAGAGAGAGAGGCAGAGGGAGAAGCAGGCTCCCAAGGAGCAGGGAGCCCGATGTGGGACTCGATCCCAGGACCCTGGGATCATGACCTGAGCCAAAGGCAGACGCTTAACCATCTGAGCCACCCAGGTGCCCTAGAGGTAAATAATTTAAGGAAAGAGTTAAAAGGGTTGAATGTGGTTGCCTCTGGGGAATGAGAATCAGGGATGGGTAAGAGTAGAACAAGACATTGCATTTTTGGGGCACCTTGGTGGCTCAGTTGGTTAAGCATCTGCCTTTGGCTCAGGTCATGATCCTGGGGTCCTGGGGTGGAGCCCCATGTTGCTCAGCTGGGGGGCCTGCTTCTCCCTCTCCCTCTGCCCGCTGCTCCCCCTGCTTGTGCTCTCTCAAATAAATAAAATCTTAAAAAGAAGACATTGCATTTTTAAAAGCCTTAGAAAGTATCATTCAGGAAAGCTGCAAAATTTAGAAGACATGCCTCTCTCATTCCAAGAGGTAACTACAAAATGTGCCTCTAAAGAGAATCATAGCATTTTTAAAACTGTACAATTCAGCGTTTTTTAGTACGTTCACAGAGATGTGCAACCATTACTACTAATTCTAGAACATTTTCATCATCTTCCAAAGAAACCCCGTACCCATTAGCAGTCGTTCCCCATTATCCCCTCCTCCCAGGCCCTGGGAACCGCTAACATATTTTCCGTCTTTATGGATTTGCTTATGTTGACCATTTCATTTAAATGGGATTGTACAATGTGTAGCCTTTTGTGTCTGCCTTCCTCCACTTTGCATAATGTTTTCAAGGTTCAACCATGTTGTACCATGTATTAGTTCTTTATTATGGCTGAATAATATTCCATTGTATTGATACACCACATTTTGTGTATCCATTCATCAGCTGATGGACAGTTAGGTTATTTCCATTTTGGGTGACTGTGAATAATGCTGCTGTGAACATTCATGTACAGATCTTTTGTGTGGACATATGTTTTCATTTCTCTCGGGTATATACCAAAGAGTGGGATGCTTGGTCCTATGACAGTTCTTTGTTTAACTTTTTGAGGAGCTGCTGAACTGTTTTCTACTGCAGCTGGTCCATTGTACAGTCAGCTTCCCTATTGTTGGCTCCAGCTTTCAACTCAGCACTCACCAGATAAAGCCAAATCGGCTTCCCAAACCAGTCACATAGGATGCCCTGCTTCTTAGTAGCCCACCTCCAGCTTTTTAAAAAATTAATTAATTTTTTTTGGGGGGGAGGGGCAGCAAGAGAGAGTCCTAAGCAGACTCTGCTCTGAGTATGGAGCCCAATGTGGGACTCAATCTCAGGACCCTGAGATCACGATGTGGGCTGGAACCAAGAGTCAGATGCTTAACAGACTGTGCCAGCCAGGCACCCCACAGGCCACTTCTAGCTTTTCCTGCCAACAACCTCCAATCAGACCCGAGAGACTGCATATGCAAATGGACAGTGACCAGACCACATATAAAAATAGAACTTTGGGGCACCTGGGTGGCTCAGTCGGTTAGGTGTCTGCCTTCGGCTCAGGTCATGATCCCGGGGCCCTGGGATTGAGTCCCGCAACGGGCTCCCTGCTCTGCCAGGAGCCTGCTTCTCCCTCTGCCATTCTCTCTCTCTCTCATGAGTAAATAAATAAAATCTTTTTTAAAAAATAGAACTTTGCCCTACAACCTGCAGCAACCTGCCCAGGAAACCAAACCCATATCAACAATAACCCAGGAAGCCAGCCTGCTGTAAATCATACTTGCAGGAAGTCAGATTGCTATCTCTAGTGACAATCCAGGAAACGAAACAACCAGCCCCAAATGGCCAGGACTTGATTAATAACTGACAAGCTTCCTTCATTGTCCTGCTTCCAAATTAGGACCAATGGGAGAAAGCTAAGTATGCACCCCTAACCAATCACCTAGGATGCCCTGCTTCTACTTAATCTGCCTACATGCCAATGGCCTCCAGTCAGGGCACACCTGAAGCCTTCTCTCTCTCTCTCTCTCTCTCTCTTTTTTTTTTTTAACAAAAAGCCTTACCCTCTCTGTCTGCCTTTGAGTCTGTGCCAAAAGGCAAGTGACAGTGTCTGATACCCTTGCTCTCAGAAGCTCAGAATAAATGGCCTTTGCTTTTCTCATTTGGCTTGTCTTCATTTATTTTCACAGGGCATACCTGAAGTCTTTACTTTTTTTCACTATAAACTTTCCCACTCCCCTGCCTTCCTTTGAATCTCTGCCAAACATAACCGATGATGGCGGACTCCGTTGCTACAGCAAGCTCTGAATAAATCCCTTTTTTTTTTTTTTTTTGGTTCTCATTTGGGTGGTTTTCGTTGATTTTCACAGTGGGATTGCCAGATAAAATATAGGATGCCCTGTGAAATTCGAATTTCAGATAAACAACAAACAATTTTTAGTATGACTATGTCCCAAATATTGCATCATTGTGATTTGCTAAATCTAGAACACTAAGCATATGTAAAAATGTAACTCCACACAGAATTCTCAGAGAGGAGTATCTTGACACAAGGCAGCTGAAGAATTCTGCTCGGCTGAGCCCTCTGGTTTGTTAAATGCCAATTAAATGACATTTCTAGTTTCTGTTATGTTGTGTTGTGTTGTGTTTCTGTACCAGAAAAGAGCTTTGCCTCCAATCAGTTCGTGCTTTCATTTGCCTCTATCAAGCTGGGAGACTTTCAAGTTACTGTCTGGGTTTTAGTCCCAGACAATGCAAGGCATTTTATTCTAAAAGTCCTTTGCTCCATGTGCGTTAATTAGTCGTTTCCCCAGTCCCTGCTGCCAGTCTCCCTGTGCTCTTCAATGGCGAGTCATGTCAATTCAGTTGCCCAAGTCCTTAGAGGTTCACACAGCTTTCATCATGGATTTATTTTTGTCCTGACCAGATGGCTCCAGGTTCCTGTGACTGCATAGGAGTCTTTTGGATTATGCTGTTTATCTTTCCCAGTGCCCAAGGTAAGGGTGGATCTTCATGAAGCACATTTGTCAACACGATAAGCCGTTCACCACCACTGCTGCCTGGTAACCGAAGTTATTAGATTTAATATACGTGTTCATAATCTCCATAGCAAAAGCTGGTAGGGGATAGTTGGCTTGGTTTTTCATGCAGCCAGTAGAAGGGCAGCAGCGGACAGGGCTCAGCAGAGAGGAAAGGGACGCTCGCTACAGGGGGTGCTGGGGGGCCTCCCCCGCCCCCGTCTGAGCCCTTCTTCACCTTTAAGGAGGTGAGCCTGAAAAAGATAAGCAGAATATCTTTAATGAAAGATATATATATATAATAAACATGCGAAGGTAGGTGCGATGTTTAAAGAAACAATAAATCAAACCTGACACAGGCAATATTTCACTGTGAGATTCAGGAATTCGTCGACAGAGAACACTTGGCTTTTATTAAAAAATAACTCCATACATTCCCACACAATGAAAGGTCTCTTACATTGGCCCAGGATAAAGCTGACTATGCTCTGGTCAGTGCAGGTTTTGAAAACTTTGAAAAACATGCAGGAAGCCGCCCAGTACAAGATTCGTGGCACTGAAACTTACACACATGTGCATGTGTGCACGTCCCCAGCAGAGCACATATAATCCAGGAATTATGAATTCCTCTTGTCGGGGGTTTCAGTCACCACAAACGTCTATTGTTCAAAATGCTGAAGGACCCATGATGGACACAGATTGTCAGATGACTGGTTCTCATTCCTAGATCAGTTCCTCTTATGGACCTACCCACGCAATGCAGAAGCCAAGTGGACTCTAAGGGCAGGGGGAGCTGCTTGGCCTTTATCCTAGAGAAACCAAATCAAGAGTTTCTGACTTTGGGGATCTAGCTAGATGACTCTGTGCCTTGTTTTGGCTGGCCCCAGGGAACTCAAAGTCTAATAAAGTAGTATGCTTGCCTCATAAGCCAATTAGAGGCTTTTGCCTACAAAAGCCATTAGGACACAGTGCTGTCCACGAAGAGTGCTATATAAAGGTAAAAACATGCTGGAAATACTGTCCTGATTTAATCCAGACCTTGAAAGTTAAGCAAGGCAGTGAAGGATGAGTTCTGCGTGTGTTTGGGGGTGGGGGTAGGGTGGGGAGAGGGAGATAGGGTACATTCAGAGTAAACAAAAATAGAAGCCAGGAAGAGCAAGGAATGTTTATGAAAGGGGGAGCAAAGTGGGTGTTTTGCAACTTGGTTGCAAGAGGGGATGCCAGAGAATGAAGAAGAGAAAGGAAATGTCAGGGGCGCCTGGGTTGCCTGGTCGGTTAAGTGTCTGACTCTTCGTTTCGGCTCAGGTCTGATCTCAGGATCATGGGATTGAGCCCTGAGTCGGGTTCTGTGCTTGGCGGGGCTTGAGATTCTCTCTCTCTCTCTCTCCCCCTCTGTGCCTCCCCACCCCTCTCTCCTCTCTCTAAAATAAAAATAAGTAAATCTTTAAAAAAAAAAAAAGGCAATGTCAATGATAGAGAACTGAAATCACAATAGCAACTACTATAAATTTCCTGCTTTATATTTGCTAAGTGCTTTTCACCAAATATTACAATTAAAGCACACAACTCTCTGAAGTAGGTATTGTAATTCTTATTTTACGGGTGAGGAAAGTGAGGCACAAAGAGTTTCTATCACTCAAGGTTTCAATCTAGGGTATTGACCTGTAACACATCGTGTTGAGGAACTCTACTGGGCACCAGAAGGAGCTAAGATGGAAGGTTCTGATTACCAGGTCAGTCTGATTGTGTTCCTCCACACCTTCATACCTTCTTGCATTAAGCACCCTCACCCTCCTTTGCCTTCCCACAGTTTATTCATATTATTAAGCTCCACCATGACCATATTCTTTTTTTATTATTTTAAAAGATTTTATTTATTTATTTGACAGAGAGAGAGTGAGAGAGCACAAGCAGGGGGAGCGGCAGAGGGAGAGAGAGAAGCAGGCTCCCCACTTAGCACCCCTGCGGGGCTCAATTCCAGGACCCCGGGATCATGACCTGAGCTGAAGGCAGACACTTAACTGACTGAGCCACGCAGGCATCCCCCACCGTGGCCATATTCTTGAAGTATTGGTTCGTATGTATATTTTATCTGCACAACTCACAGTTTCCTTAAAGGAAGGGATCTTGTCTATCCTTTTGTATCTTTCCCAGAGCAGGGAGCTTAACACACACAATAGTTAATTGCTTGATGAGGATTCCACCAAGCATTTCATGTAAGCTCCTTTCTACCTGTAACACTTTTTATTTTTTGTTAAAGATTTTATTTATTTGACAGAAAGAGCACAAGCAGAGGGAGAGAGAGGGAGAAGCAGGCTCCCTGCTGAGCAAGGAGCCCGATGTGGGACCCGATCCCAGGACCCTGGGATCATGACCTGGGCTGAAGGCAGCCGCTTAACCGACTGAGCCACCCAGGCGTCCCAACACTTTTTTTTTTTTTTTAAAGATTTTATTTATTTGCCGAGAGTGAGCAAGTGAGCGAGCAAGCGGGAGAGAGCACAAGCAGGGAGAGTGGCAGGCAGAGGGAGAAGCAGGCTTCCCGCTGAGCAAGGAGCCGGATGTGGGACTCGATCTTAGGACCCTGGGATCATGACCTGAGCCGAAGGCAGATGCTTAACCGACTGAGCCACCCAGGTGTTCCTGTAACACTTCTAGAGTGCCTGATTAGAGCACCTTCATCAACTTTACCTGGGAAGGCAGCTTTTCTGCAAATGTGCAGGATGCAGTGCTGGGCACTGGCACTTTTGTGATCTCCCTTAATTTTCTCTAGGTGTGTATTGTACATTTCCATTTTTCAAGAAAAGGAAACTGAGGCCCATAGAGGTTAGGTTAGCATGTGTCAAAGTGTTAGAGTAAGCAGTTAGTTAGGTTTTTTAAAAAAGATTTTATTTGGGGCACCTGAGTGGCTCAGTCGTTCAGCGTCTGCCTTTGGCTCAGGTCATGATCCCTGGGTCCTGGGATCGAGCCCGGTATCAGGCTTCCTGCTCGGCGGGAAACCTGCTTCTCCTTCTCACACTCCCCCTGCTTGTGTTCCCTCTCTTGTTGTCTCTCTCTGTCAAATAAATAAAATCCTAAAAAAAATTTAAAAAAATAAAAGATTTTATTTATTTATTACACTGACACTGAAAAAAATCTCCAAGGTATATTGTGAAGTGACATAAGCAAGATTCAGAGTATTATGCAAACTTTATGTAAAGGTGTATTTGTGTTTATACACATCTAGAATACCTCTAGAAGGAGATACAAGACACCAAGAACATTGGTTGCCTCTATGAAGGGAAGGGAACCGGGTGGCCAGGGCATGGTGTAGGAGAGGGATGGTTTGAGGTAGGGAAAGACAGTGGTGTTTTGTTATAAAAACCCCTGGTGGCGCACCTGAGTGGCTCAGTTGGTTAAGCGTCTGAATTAGGCTCACCTGCTGAGTGGGGAGTCTGCTTGTCCTTCTCCCTCTGCTCTTCCCCCCCCTCCACTTGTGCTCTCTCTCTCTCTAATTTTATTTATTTATTAGAGAGAGAGAGAGTGGGGAAAGGGAGAGGGAGAGGGAGATGGAGAGAATCTCAGACTCCACACCGAGCACAGAGCCAGATGCAGGGCTCGATCTCACGACCCTGAGATCATGACCTGACCCGAAACCAAGAGTCAGACACTCAAATGTCTGAGCTACCCAGGCACCCCAGTTAGTTAGGTTTTAACAGGATGCCTGAAGGCCAGAAAACGGGGAGTCATGCCTGCTCTGGGAAAGTTCGAGACCTGCCCTGGCATCATTCCAAAAACAACACCACAAGAAGCTGGATCAAACCAGACAGGCCCATGACAAAGAAAGCCAGACACCCTGACCAAGTAAAGGAGAAAAGGCATGTAACCTTCTCCCAAGAAATCCCATCCCCAAGTAATAAATATTCCACCCCTCGTTAACAACTGTAAATACAAGATAGAGACCCAAAACCTCAGGGAGCTCAGCTTCCCCCTGAAGCTCACCTGCTCTCACATCTTGAGAGTGTACTCTCTTTAATAAGCTTTCCCACTTGCACTGCTCAACCACTGTGTCTGATCTTTCCTTGAATTCTTTCTAGCAAGAAGAAAGCCTTTGGTGACGTCCAGGGATGGGCTGGGTGGAGGCCTCAGGGCCTGGGGATCTCCCCAGTCCACCTGGCAATGAAAGAATAACCCAAAGACATATTGTAAATTATTATCGCACTGATTTGCTTGAACACAAAACTCTAATAACAGATTGATTTTATCTAACTATGGATTTATCTATAAGAAAGATGAGAGAGGAAAGAAGGAAAACAACAGCCGTATTTGGAAATGGTGAACATTGTTTTCCTCTTGTGGGGTAAGCTGGCAACCAGCAAAAGGTCAGTTGGGGGTGTTCTGCCCTCGGTCAGCAGACTGGGTCCTCAGGGGGGAAACCAATGTAGATGTTTATGGATTCCCAGAGGACCTTGGGAATTTAATTCCGAGCAAGGTGTGACAGGCTATGTCTGTGCTACATCTGTCACTGTCTTCTCCATCTCAGCTCTGCTAACCCTATACCAGCAACTGTCCCAGAATTTTTCAACTACCCCTCTCAGTCACTCAGCACTCAGCCATGTGGACTATGAGGGCTGCTGGTTCCTTCTGATGCTGCTCATGAGTTAACTGTTGCTTTGGGATCATGGTTATGCAGCAACGTTTAAGAACCTGGACATTAGATGGTGAAGGAGAGTGAAAAGCCTAAGGACAATCACACTAAGGAATGGTGAAATCCACTGCATGTCCAATTTCTTAGTTTGCCTAAGCCCAACCTGGAGAGCAATTCACAAGGATGAGTTTGGTCAATATTAGTTAAGCAAGCAGCTTTTAAGTTAATTGATTGTACCACTTCTCCTAAGGTATTTATTGGGTGCAATAAGATGTGTTGCCCATTGCCCAGACTCCACTTTGGCTGGTGAGCAAATAAAACGTCTATCTGATAAATTTATGCTCATCTATTATAC